ATATGAGAAAGTAAAAAGCATGTCACAAATTAGCACAACTTTTGTAAATAAATTAAGTCAGTTCGAACTTTAAATATTGTACATATTATGCTATTGATTATGTTAAATTATAATAATGAGATTACAAATTTTGTATACCCATAAAAGCTAAAAAGGTTTTAGCCTATTTAAACGTTGTAAAAATGAATTTTTCGCTATGTTACTAATTTTCCTATAAATTAAAGTTTGATGTATAGGGGTCTCCAAACTACGGTCCGCTGGCCGAATGCGGCCTGCGAAGCCCTCTCATCCGGCCCGCGGATATTTTCTTTTCCACGCAAAAAATATTTGTTGGGTGTGGCACAAGCCCTTTACCCAGAAATTTTTTTTAAAAATGTAAATGTAGTTCTGGGGGCAAATACCATTTCCCTCCGTGTAGTAGACATGTGTGAAAACATGTTCCACCTCTCAACATCATTTTAGGTGTGGATGGAAGACATGAAAATAACACAAGAGCTGGCTTCCCTACATAGCATGTATGGCAACGTTACCGGAGAGGATATATTCAGTGAGTTAAAACAACATTTGCTGATTTTTAACTTGGACTGGACTAACCTCAGTTACCTGACTGTTGAAGGAGGAAAGTACATGAGTGGCGTAAAGAAATGCTTGGTTTGACACGAGAATAAGAAAAAAATTCTACAACCAATGTCCCTGCAATGTAATATTCCCTAGCAAACTTTGCGTGCTAAATATATGGACAATGCTGAATCTCGCGGTGAAGCTGCTTAATTAATAAGGTACATAAGTTCACAGTATCGCAACATTTACTATTTTACACAGCAGTAAGATAGCTAAGTTTGGGGGGAAGTTCTGGGCAGAGTATTTAAGTTAAGAAAGGAAATAGGTGACCTCCTGGCAAGTAAAGCCAAGCCACCGCCATTAATGTCTGATGAAGAGTGGGTATAGAAATTGGCTTATACTGCTGACATAGCTAATCATTTAAATTTTCTGAACCTAAAACTACAAGGAGAGTAAAATCTAGTTTCTGGTCTATAGACCCAAAGAAAGGCATTCAGATACAAACGTATTGTTTTTGTAACTAATACAGGCCCAAAACTTGGCGCACTTTCAGCAGTACAAAGTCTTCATGGCTGAAGCAACAGCTGAGTTCCCCACGTCATTTCAATGCGAGATCATCATGGACCTCCATATGCAGTTTCATAGCGGTTTTCTGACTTGGATTAAAGGCAGAAGAAGTGAGACTGTTTTAAACCCATTTGAAGCTGATGTGGCCATTTGCCCAGATGAACTGCAAGTGGAGGTCATTGAATTGCAAGCAAATGACCTCGTTTGGAGACAAGTTTACAGAAGCGCGGGTGTGTCAAAACGTCTGCATTAAAGTACCTTTCAAATTCTGGAACAACGTACCTGTGTGAACAAGCATTTTCAAAAATAAAATACATGAAGAATAATTTGAGAAGAAACTTGGACCTCGAGTGTGCTAGGCACCCGACAGTATTTCTTTCAGACTTTTTCTCCAGGGGGAGGGGGAGGGCACTTGAAATTTGTATGGATTATATCTTTAAATTATATTTCGTTGGGGGAGGGGGTAGGGGGATAAGGGTTCTTCGGGGGGGGGGGGGGGGGGGGTAAGATTCGAAACCAAAAGAGATGCCTGGAAGAAACTCTGATATTTGATAGTTAAATCGGCCCTCGGGCTGAAAAGTTTGGAGACCCCTTGCGTTAAACTTTAAACGTTGATGTTCAGTCTAAAGCGCGTAGTTTAAAAACATAATTAAGAACATCCTGAAAAAAAAAAAATTTATGTGAATACATATATACATGCGAATACACAGAAAATACAATGTTAAGTGAATATATATATATAGAATATATATATACATATATATATATATATATATATATATATATATATATATATATATATATATATATATATATATATATATATATATATATATATAGGGTAAAGGAGGGCGTTAAGAGCCGTGTGGTATTAAGCCCCAATCAACACCCCACCCCCACAAAACCCCCAATAACACTGCTAATCTACTTCTGAGGTAACAACCACTGCTGTTCTTTGATAACAGAGAAGCAGAGGATTCATTTTAGGTAATTTATGACCCACTTGGTCTAATAGGGAGAGGATGAGACAAGATTTAATCCCACTGCTCTTTCCCTAAAATTTCTCATCTCCATAAAACCATTTTGTGAACTTTTTTTCCAAATAGACATAACTTGGGAAACTTCACTTTGTAATAAACCAAATGAGTTTTTCAAGCCCATTCTTTGTTCCTGTATTAGAGTATTGGTTGTTGTACATTTTAACACTATTTTTATAGCTATGGCTAGAATAGTTTTATTTTGGTGAATTTTTTTTGCACAGTGATTATTGGTGCCAAAACAAAATGGCCGACATTAGTCCCATTTTACCATGCTATAAAGTTTTTATCATTATCAGAGTAAAACTTGACTGATCATTACCATAATGGTTTTATTTGTTAGATAATAACTAAATCTACATGAATACATTAATTTTGTTCACTAGCTTGCCTGTTTAGAAAAGTTATAACAGATACTGTTATGTGGCTCTTGAAACCCTATGTGCAAGTTTCTCATTTATTAGACCACTGAATATAACACTGGTATAGGAATAGTTAACACAAAATGTATTAATTATTAAACAGACTTGTGTCTAAATGATAGAAATACTATTCTAACCTGCTAAAAAGTAAAAATTCAGTCATCTCATGTTAGCAAGGTAATTTTTAAAATGGTATGAGTACTAAGGGGCAATACATACCTGTTTCTAACCAACCATAAAACTTCTAATCTCTTTGTAGGTAACAGGAATAAATGTTCTTAGGTCTCAGCCAATCTGGGGTGGTATGTTATGTAATTTATGACCCTCATGGTCCAGCATGGAAGTAAACAGACACATTAATACCACTGCTCCCCCCTTACAATTTCTTACCCCCATGATACCCAGCCCCCACCAGTTTCTGGTCCACCATAAAACTTCATCTCTTTGTAGGTAACATGGATTACAGTTACAGATCTCAGACAATCTGTGGTGGCATGTTATGTAACATATGACCTTCATGGTCTAGCAGGGTGGAGACCAAAGAGGAATCAGTACCACTGCTGTCCCCTCACAATTTCTCACCTCCATGATCTAACCCACCATTAAACTTCATCTCTTTGTGGGTAACATGGACTAAGTTCTTAGATCTCAGCCAACCAGAGATAGCATCTCCTTATGTAATTTATGGCCCTCAGGGTCCAGCAAGGAGAAAAAAAGGGGAAACCAGTACCACTGCTCTCCCCTCACAATTTCTCACCCCCATGATACCCAGCCCCCACCTGTATCTAACCCACCATAAAACTTATCTCTTTGTAGGTAGCATGGACTTAGTTCTTAGATCTCAGCCAACCAGAGATAGCATCTCCTTATGTAATTTATGGCCCTCAGGGTCCAGCAAGGAGAACAAAGGGGAAACCAGTACCACTGCTCTCCCCTCAACATTTCTCACCTCCATGTCATGTTATGTAATGTATAGCACACATGGCTTATCAGGGGAAAGCATTAAGGCAGATTAGTTAGTACCAACCCTTTTTACATACAAGAATGTTAACTCTGGACAGCTACACACTAGTATACTAGCTACACACTAGGCACACTAATGTGCTTACTGTAAACTACTTGACTTTAGGCCCTATGTACACCTGTAATTGTATCAATTGTAGACTGGGCCCATTGGGGCCTAGTGATAGCTAGTATCAGTTAAAGTGTGTGTACACAGCATTAACTATTTTGGAGTTAGAAATTAATTATTTTTATTGAGGAGTTAGTCTAAACTAGGAGATAATGCTTATTGCCCCATTGCCCGGCTCCTTTCACCCCAAATGCTGATTTCGGGGGTATGACAATAAATTTTCAATTAAACCCATTTAAAGTATATTTAATAGACTTTGTTATTATTTTTATATTGTGTAAGATATGTTAGAATAATTTTGCCATATTTTCAATACTAAAAAATTCTTAGATTAGTAGAAATCTTTAAAAATGTACAGGTGCTAACTAAAAAGTGTGGCTCTTAACGCCCTCCTTTACCCTATATATATATATATATATATATATATATATATATATATATATATATATATATATATATATATATATGATTATTGTGTTACCTGCATCCGTTAGCGGCAATATAGCAATCACGAAGAAAGCAAGCACATTTTTCAGGATAGTTATTTTTAACATTTTCAGGGCTTGGGTGTTTAAGAATCTAACCAATCAAACCTGCAGTGTAAAGAGCACAAATCAAAACTTTACATTTTTAGTGATTAATTGCAGCATTTTATTATAATGCCATGTTATGTTGTTTTTATTTTATAGTAAATTATTTATAAAACATTTTAATACTAGTAAAAACATGGATCACTCAGGAAGTATTTAAAATAAAATAAAAATAAAAATTTAAACTAGCGTGCCCGTCCGCGTGTTGCTGTGGTCCATAAGAAACTATAACGTAATATTTTATGAGGGTTTCAACAGTGCTTTACCAATTCTATTTTCTCAGACTCATGACCTTGTTTTTTAAAACAAAATTATTTTAATGTAAAAAAAAAATGCTGCGCGGTATTTTTTTGGATCCTACTTGTCGAGAGCACGGGTTTGCCCACACAACCGCCCAGTGCGTGCTGCATGAAAGTCTTAACAGAAACTTCTCCATGAGTATTCTCAATAAATTCCCAAACTTTTATGGCGATTGGATGAAAGGTGAAGTAATACACTAATAGACAGACAGAATAACAGAGATACATTGCTTTATATGTTTAAAAAAATAATATAGATTGTACAAACATAGTTTTGTTTCATTGTGTAAATTTTAGATGTATACTTAACTAATAGTTAAGTATTAATTAATATTAAAATAACAACATTATTGTGTATATTATATTACAATCTATCAAAATTAAGTTCCTACCTTATGTTATGGTTACAGAGACGTAAAGAACTCTCTAGGACTTTCTCTTTTGTGTGAGTTTGTGTGAGTACGAAAGCTGTTTAAAACAAGGTAATTAAAAAGTCTAGTGACAATTTTAGCGCAATTTCCTTACGTTATCTAAAAATAGCTCTGTCGTAGCGTAAATCAAGAGCAGGGTTAGTAAAACCATTGGTTAAAATACATGTTTTATTTACAATAGAGTTACATGACTAAAAACCATTGCGCGCCTAGCTACTGAACGTGATGACGCAGCCATTGAACGTGATGGCGCAGCTATTGAACGTGATGACGCGTGTCGTGTGGTTGGATAAACGCCTACTAATTCGGTCCAAATTTTAATTAATTAAAAAAAAATTTTGTGACCGAACGAAAGGATATTTTTGAAAACTTTCTTCGGCAATATTGTTCTAAATTATAGCAGGAATCGATTGGTACATGTTTCAAGTCGCTAAGTCTGGTTGCCGAGATATGGGCCAAAAACTGCATTTTTTCGAGGTTTTTTTGCTTTTTCGGGAAATCCATGAAAGAAACCCGGAATTTTTATGGCCTATGTTCGTCCTCGTAACTTGCTTAACATACTTGCTGTTGGAACTAGTCCTCGATATTGCTTCGTTGAGGAGGAGATACGACTTAAAGCTGCGGACACACATCCATCCATCCATTCATTCATTCATTCATACATCCAGAAATGACGACTTAATAAACGCAATTCTCCAGAATGGAAATTGCGCTAAAAATAATATAGATTGTACAAACATAGTTTTGTTACAGTGTGTAAATTTTAGATGTATTTAAAACTCTAAATCCTAGCTTCGATCGTTGTCAAACTTACGAAATCCAGATTAGAATTTATTTATCTAAATGTGCATCAGAAACTTAAAACCGAAGATAAATATCATGAATATTTTATAACAACATAAATTAAGATACATTTTATGAATATCTTTACTGTAACATAATATAAGATAAGTAACTTTTATGAATATCTTTACTGTGTCATAATTTAAGATAAATTTTATAAATGTTTTTCCTGTAATATAGCTTTAAAAAAATTGTGTTAATGTTTTTACTGTAACATAACTTAAGATACATTAATAAGCATTTATTTCTGTAACGGTTAAATTATAATATAAATATTATATGAATATTTGTACTTTAACATAAATCAGATACACTTTATGAATAGTTTCCTTGTAACATTCCTGAAAAATATATTCAGGGGAATTCTACTTTAACTGTTACTTTTACCTTAATAGAATTGTTCTCCCATACAAGCTACTAGGCAAGAAAACTTGACCGTTTCAGAGACAGGTCACGTATCATGTGCTAGTCTTGGGCAAACTTTACATAAGTACAAATTCAAGTCAGTACCGTGTTCGTATTTGATTGGCCAGCTAAAGTTGATAGCCTCTTTTTTATCTGCATTGAAAAGCCCATTAAATATTTTAAAAATAATGCATAGTGTAATTAAAACTAATATGGTAATAAACTCCTGATTGTTTGTTTATTTTCGGACTATAAAATAGAGTGAATATATTTGACGTTTTAGTATTTTCGGTAATTAAAGACAATTTATTAAATAAACCGGGAGTAAAACTGCGAACAATGTGGTTTTCACTAGGTAATGGCGACATAAACGTTGACACCCTGATAACGATAGGCTAGCATACATTTTATTATTATACAAAATGTAAAAACATAGGAACACCGACACAAGGCTAAATTACTTACGCACAATCAAATGTGCAGCTATTGTTCTATTGGTATCACACACGTACACACACACGTACAAATACACACACTTACACAATCGTAGGCTGTTGTATGATAATTAGCTTGATCAATAATATGCAGATTTGTAAATTTTCTATGCGGTTTCAATCCAATCCACTTAGGTAAATTTTGTATTTGGACGCACCACCCAAATTTTTGTCAAATGGCGTCAATTCGTGTAAACATATTAATTCATATAGAAAAAGCATTTAGGGACCTACCGCTAACATTTATTAATTCCATTTTAAAAAATCATTGTTTTTGTAGTAAATTATACAATTTGGTGTCACTCCCCCCCCCCCCCCCCCCCACCCATCAGAGACTGGGATTGACATATAAATTATTTCGATTCACAACAAAACATTATTCCCTAAGGCAACGTGTAGATATTTTTCTATTTCTTGCCTTGGTGTCACCCAGAGTTTCTTCCAGGCATCTCTTCGGGGGGGCGAAGCCCCCCCGAAAAATTTTTACCGCCCCCCCGAACGAAATGAAATTTATATAATTTATATAGAAAATATATACTTTTAACAGTGTCCGCCCCCCCGAAGAAAGTTTACCGCCCCCCCGAAGATTTCAAGTGCCCCCCCGGAGAAAAAAGTCTGGAAGAAACACTGGTGTCACCTCCTCTAAATTATGTCACACGGTGCGGTCAGCACCCTTTCTTTGCCCCCCTCCCCCCACCACCTCACCCCTCGCTATGCCTTTGATTGTACTGTTTGTTGATATACATTTTTATATTCCTTAGTTCAACAACCAAACAAGACAGTTTTTATTTCTGCTTCGTTCTTGATTTTTTAAGGGTATTTCCTCCAACACAATTAAGTATTACCTGTCAACCTGTAATTAGTTCTTTAATCAGTTTACGAGTTAAGTCTGTTTAATGGTGCTAATAAAGTTTTAATTAGTTATTTCCAACTTATTTCCGAGTCAGGTGCAGCTGTCGTATTTGATTAAATCGATGAGCCAACAACCTGAACTGATTATCTTTATTTTTATTTTTTTATTTTTTTGAGGTCAACTCAAATTTTGTTTTTGGTAAATATTAATGTAAAAATGGGAGAGTGTTAAGATAGTGTAGGAGAATACTTTAAAAGTTGATCATTTTACTTTTAATTCTATTAAATGCATGTTAATGTTTTTTAAACAACACTTACCAATAACAAATAAATAAATGGTTTTTAGTTTTGAATTATCAAAGTATTTAAGGTAGTTTCTGATATATCAAGCAGCGTTTAACCCCCCCCCCCCCCCCCCCACACACACACACACACACCTCTTCAAATCATGTTTTAATTAGTTAATTACAATTTATTTCCGAGTCAGATGCAGCTGTCGTATTTTATTAAATCGATGAGCGAACAACCGGAACTTTTTTCTTCTTCTTTCTTAATTTTTAGTGGGATTCCCCTCCAACACAATTAAGTATACGTGTCAACTGGTTATGCGCTATTGAGGCCATTGACTCCAAATTCAGCCTGCTTTTCTTTTTTAATTTGCTTCCAAAGCCTTTGTCCAACCAAGAACAAACTACAAGGTAGCAGTTGTTTAATTTTGGAGTTGTCTCTCCTAGAAGAGTGGCTTTTCGGTTTAGCAACCAAGAGCTTTACCACGCCAAGCCCCAACCTGAACTGATTCTTTTTATTTTTAATTTATTTATTTTTTATTTTTTGAGGTCAACTCAAATTTTGTTTTTGGTAAAGGTTGATGTAAAAATGTGAGTGTGTTAAGATAGTGTAGGATATTTCAAAAGTTGATAATTTTACTTTTAGTAAAATCTCAAATGTGTGCATAGATATACCAAAGTGAGAAATTACTCCAAAGACCCACTAAAAAAAATCATGTTGTTAAAATAAATATGGTTATAAAAATCTGGCTGTAAAAATGTCAGTGTTTTAAGATAGTGTTTGTGCATAGATATACCAAATTGAGAAAAGCCTTGAAATTATTCCAAAAACCCACTAAAAAAATTAAAATTTTGATGTTAAAATAAATATGGTTATAAAAATCTGGCTGATTGATTATTGTTTGACTTAATTAAAGATTGGATGTATTTCATGTTTTTTAGTATTTTTGTATTTAGTATTTAGACAACTCTAATTAAAAAAACAGACATTAATGTAAAAACCACAAACACGAATACAAACCGGTGTGGATATTTTAAAATGTTTATTCGATGGCTGCAGTCAACTGCCGCCAGTTGGGATTTATGTACATGTACAAGCAGTGTGGTTTTCAGCTTAATTAATTAAATTGGTTTAATTAATTTAATTAAATGCATGTTAATTTTTTTTAAACAACACTTACCAATAAGAAATAAATAAATGGTTTTGGTTTTGAATTGTCAACGTTTTTAAGGTAGTTTCTGATCGATCAAGCAGTTTTTACCCCCCCCCCCCCCCACCCACACACACACACACGCACACACACACACACACACCTCGTCTAATCTGTCTAACCATAATTAATATATTGGTTAAGGCTATCAGCTATTTACGTAATCCTAGATTATTTTATCCTAACTCAACCGCCGAAACTAATCAAACCTCAATCTGTTGTTAAATTTTAACCCTAAACTACAAACTAAACTCTTAATCCTAACGCTAACCTGGTAGTGGAGTACTTTTTTAACCTCACCTTCAGACAAACACTAAATATTACCTTAACCAAAACATTATATCCAACCTTCCTCCCGATTTCTAAACTGGTAGAATACCAACCCTACCAAAAATCAGTGCTTCAAAAATATTATAAAAACTTTTCAGCCGCATGAGGTCATTTCCTGTAGGTGTTGATAAACAAGATGGCAGATTAGTTGGGTAAAATAATTTATACCAGGTATAAGGCATATGTTGTAATGACGTTGTAAAACAAACGTAATAAAAACCCTCAAAATTTCACCCTAATTTCAATTAAAACATGTTATCCTAAATAACAACACATTAGTAAGGAGCTTAATTACCTGGAATTAAACTGAGAATATTAATTAAATACTTAAAAGAAAAAGCAATTTAGAAATAAATAAGCATTTGACGCAATCAATAATATACAAGCGAGAAAAAATATGTCGCGTTATAGACAAATACGTTGTGTGATAAGTATTATACTTTTCCGAATTTCAATATTAAAAATTCTCCATAAACAAATAATGCGGCTTGTAGTTCAGCAGTATAAAATATAGATGAACAATGGCCCGCACTGTTCAAAGGCACTTTGTTAAAATGATTTCTACTTGCACTTGAAACTTTACAGGATGAACTCTAAACTATATATAAACAGTATATTTACTACTGTACTATATATATATATATATATATATATATATATATATATATATATATATATATATATATATATATATATATATATATATATAACAGGATGCCTTTAAATCCCCGCAGATATTTGTTTATATTTTTAATCAAGATCTACGTGTGTTCATGTTTTGATTTTAGCTTTAAATTTAAGCCATTAGAGGAAGAATAAAAAATGCTAAGCTGACATTATTTTGGAAACAAGCAATTAGAAAACAGCCAAATAAGCCTGACTAGCCCTCTAGCGTTAGACCCTAGATTAACTGAAACCTTTAAACTCTACCAAACAATGGAGCTTTGCCGTTTGCAAATATTTTCTAAGCGTGTAGCTAGCCTTTGGATACCAATGTTAGGAAAGGCCTGTGTTTGTCATATCTATATTTTCTGCACGTGAGCTAGGTTTTCTATACCGGTGAGCTAGATGTTCTTTGTAAGTGAGCCAAAAATGTATGTGCACGTGAGGCAGCTCTATAATATACCGGTGAGCTAGTTGTTCTACGCTAGTGAGCTAAGATTTGGAAATAAATTCTTTAATGCGTTTAGTTGCTTAAACCGAAAAAAAACCGCAGCAGATTTATTTCCGATTGATCGCTCTTTAAAACAAGTTTTAGAAGTTTGATGATGAAGGATGTAGTGCCTTCTACATTAACAAAACTAGCACTTGGATGGGAGGGAACAATTGTACTCAATGTTTTTTTCCATGCATCTCTCTGGGGAAGAGGATACATTCTCCACCCACCCCCCCCCCCCCTCAACACTTGGACGAAAAAAGAAAACAAATGTACAATGTATATAGAAAATACCAGTGTCGGTCCCCTCCCCGGGAGATTCAAGAGCCAGTCGACCCCTGGTGAAAGATGCATGAAAGAAACTCTGATGGTAAGACTACGTCATCGGCGTTTTACAACTTCGATTTTACAAAAATACAAAGATGCATAAGCGATTCAAACAAGTGCATGTTTAAGGATATTTTTTTTTTAAAAAAAAAAAGCTGATTTTTCATTATTATATAAAAAGCGATGAAAAACAGTACATGAAAGTTACAATAATGGTTTGTTTCGCAATAGTCTGATCACAATCGGTACATTTAAAAACATGAACATTTTCATCACATTGTTTAAAATAAAACAGGCTTGAGAGCAATCAAATTATCTTTCAAAAGTTCATGAGTTCATGACATCAACTTCCTGTGTAGTACTCATCCATAGCACACAAAATATGGCGGCGATTATCAAAGGACAGGTAATCTCATTTTGTTGTCATCATTCTCACAAATTCTGGAAAATAGAAAATATTTTTTGTTTGTTTTTTCTTTTGGTGCTCATTTATTCCGTTATTTGTTGATGTCTCGTTTAAGAAAAAAAAACAATACTACCTTAATGATACTTTTTTACTTTCTCGTATATACGTAGTATAGAGAAAGTATTGTAATCGTGCAAAAAAAAAAATCGAGATTTTTACAAATCTCGACGTTTTGCACCTCACTGATACGGAAAAACATAATTTTGCAATCTTGTCCGTATGTCTGTGTGTGTGTGTGTGTGTCTGTGTGTCTGTGTGTCTGTCCGTGTGTAAACACGATAACTTGAGTACCGTTACAGCTAGGTTGATGAAATTTCATATATAAGTATTATACCAAAATCGTAGATCCGTATCAACTTTTGAGCGATTTCCGACAACCGGAAGTGGTACTTTTTCTACTTTGAATTTTTCAAAAGCCTATAACTTGAGTACTATTTCAGATAGATAAATGAACTTTCACATGTAAGTAAAAGATCTAATTCTCTACCTTCTGTTAAATTTTGAGTAATTTCCGTTGACCAGAAGTAGTAATTTACGCTACTTCCGATTTCTCAAAAAACGAATGTAAATTTTTAAAGTACTAATAATATTGCGCACTATTATGCATTTTTTTATTTAGCGTTCACTTGGAGTGCAACTCTTTTGTCTACGAGACTTTATTCTATTTTTAAAACTTTAAGTATTTAAAAAATTAATGGATTAAAAATCATGTCTATAGCCCGAGTTTCCATCCCCTGTTGTTTTATATAAGAATATTCGAGAAAGTTTAGGGGAGATCACTCCCGGTTTATTTAAAACTATAATCTCTATTACCTTATGCAGGTAGCGCTCAACAATTTTAAATTTAAACCTTCAACTGATCCTAGCCGAATAGGCCCACTAAATCATAGATTAAGAAGATTGGAGTTGTGTTACTGTGATACAACAAAAGCTAAATCTAAAACCTTAAGAAACAATCCTGTAGAAAATCGTTTTGTGAGCCGCAAAATTAAACGGAGTTTATATACAGTAAGTTGTAGAGACTAGTTTTGAAAATTCGGTAAAAGAAAGTGGAGATGGATATACCATACGTTTAGGTAACCGGAAATAAAAATAAAACACATTTTTTTAAAAACTTTTTAACAGTAAGCTTTTAAATACACCATTGAGAATTATAAAATAAAACTAATTTTCTTTCTATAATGAAAGCTTTGGTCGCCTCAGGCCATGGAATTACCAGCTCTGGTTTCCTTTCGGCAGCTCCTGCGACACTTCCATCAGCTTTGTTGGCACTGCTGTTGTTGACACATGTCACTGCTGATACCAAGCTGTATATGTAACGTCCTGTTGACAGCGGGAAGCCTGATACACGGGCAACATTAGGGCCTAGGCTTTGTGATTGGTTTTTTTAATGCTCAAATATCAAATGGTCTACTATCTTGTAGTGTCATGATGTTGTTTTTTTTTTAAACTTTGGGGGTTACAACCAGATTTGACACACCGGGTACAGTGTTTCTTCCAGACTTTTTTCTCCGGGGGGGGGGGGGGCAATTGATATTTTCGGGGGGCGGTCAACATTTTCCGGGGGTCGGACACTGGTAAAAAAAGTATGTTTTTTATATAAATTCCAGTTCGTTCGGGGGAAGCGGTAGACTTTCTTTAGGGGTGGGGGTGAAAGCCCCCCCCTCCCTCCCCGAAGAGATGCCTGGAAGAAACTCTGACCGGGTATCAGACGTTCTACTGACGCCACTGGTAGATTAATGACGCCAAAGTGACTTTGTATTACGTGCGTTGCATGTTTCCTTTAAACACTACCACGTCAAAAGTTAAGACACCGCCTAGAAAGCTGAACCGAGCACTTACCCCCCCCCCCCCCACCACCCACCTTCATAGTTGACCTGCCCGTCCCCGTCCATATCCGCCTCCCGGATCATCTCGTCCACCTCGTCGTCCGTCAACTTCTCCCCCAGGTTGGTCATCACGTGACGCAGCTCCGCGGCGGAGATGAACCCGTTGCCGTCCTTGTCGAACACGCGGAACGCCTCGCGGAGCTCCTCCTCCGAGTCGGTGTCCTTGATCTTCCGCGCCATCATCGTCAGGAATTCTGGGAAATCAATCGTTCCGTTGCCTGAAAATCAGAAATCAATTGAGTCCGTTTGTCAAATCTCGTTGCGTGACCAAAATAAAAATTTAAAAAAAATAACTATACTCATCACCAGTCAAAATATTTAAAAACCTATTCGATTTTTTAAATTTGTATTCTGTCAAAGGTGCTTTAAAAAAATTCCACACGAACATTTTAAGTGATACAAAAAAAATTAAGTTTTCGAAACTTTGAGCTCAAGTCGTGGTCTTGTCACAAACAAGCAAGTGAAAATCTAAAACACAGGAGAGTGGGTAAAACTAATAAGTTAAACCAATTAAATCAAGCTACAAAAATTAGTTTATTCACAAATTATCTTACGTTAATAAAATCAGATAACCACACACACACAATATGATTTGTAGAACGGTTCCGTAATTTTCTATGCATAGCAAGTTTGAGGGTATAGATCGTTTTGAAAAATATGAATTAAAAATTAAAGATCTTACTTTTTATTTTTTATTTTAAACTGGCAGGTATGAATAAGTGTGAACGGACATTTTGAGTTTGTGCAGTGTGACGTTTTGATTATACTTAAAACAAGTTTTACAAAACAAGTAAATAAATGTTCGGCTTTATGTCTTCATCAGGAAAAAAAAATACTTTTATTATATCGAGAAATCTGTATACACTGTATACACTTGTCCTTGTCGTTAATATAATACAAAGTGATAAAATTCAGCTATTTCATGTAATGAGTTCATCTTAACTAGACTCAATATTCTTTTAGCAATGACTGACTAATCAGTCAGTAATTTACTATCGTCTTTGATTCTTGACCAACCTGCAATTGGAATAAACACGGAGTGGAAGAACTGACCAGCCCCATCCAATGACGTCATCGACCTCACCTAGCATGTTCATGTCTCCACTAAAGAGTAACCTACCTATGATCACCTGTACGGTACGGCTAATCTATGAAGTACTCACCATCAGCGTCGACCTCGTTTATCATGTCCTGAAGCTCCGCCTCTGTCGGGTTCTGACCCAGTGACCTCATTACGATCCCCAGTTCTTTGGTCGTGATGGTGCCGTCGCCATCTTTGTCGAAAAGACTGAAGGCCTCTTTAAACTCTGTAGAGAAAACATAAGGGCTTACAATACTGAAGGCTTCTTTAAACTCTATGTAGAACAAATATAAGGGCTTACAATACTGAAGGCTTCTTTAAACTCTATGTAGAAAAAATATAAGGGCTTACAATACTGAAGGCTTCTTTAAACTCTATGTAGAAAAAATATAAGGGCTTACAATACTGAAGGCTTCTTTAAACTCTATGTAGAACAAATATAAGGGCTTACAAGACTGGGGGCTTCTTTAAACTCTATGTAGAAAAAATATAAGGGCTTACATTACTGAAGGCCTTTTTAAACTCTATGTAGAAAAAATATAAGGGCTTACATTACTGAAGGCCTTTTTAAACTCTATGTAGAAAAAATATAAGGGCTTAGGTGACGGTGGGGTGGGGGTGAGGGGGATCATGTTGTGTCTGTCAGTTGTTTCATGTTGACATATTTGTAATTTCTCGTTGGCATATCAACTGGTTTTTAATGGAACGGCATGGTCAAATGGTAGAGCCTTTGGCTGCTGGCCCAAAGGTTTCAAGTTCGGATCCCAATCCGGACTTGTGTCTACCCAGCTCTTACGGGTACCTAGCTGACTTTATGGAAAGTAAAAGCAGCTGTGCATAGCGATGACCACACCATCCCTTCATATACCAAGGTAAAGAATCATGAACTTCACTTCATCTGCTCAATAGATCGCTAGGTCTGTATCAACTAGTTTATCCTCTGGATTTAGGGTTAGGGTCACGGTTAGGGTCATGGTTAGGGTTAGGGTTAGGGTCATGGTTAGGGTCATGGTTAGGATTGGTTTGAGTTAGAGCTGTAGCTAGACTAGACACAGAGCTTTAAAAGGACAAGCGATGAAGAATAATTTGAGTTCTAAACTTTCCTACATAGTGTCAGTGTAGCGGATGGATCCACCAAAAGCTGCAAGTAATGTTGTTCTATAAATATAACCATAAAGGGGGCGAGAAAAATTCAAGACCGCGCCCTATGCCAGAAAAATTGAAGCTATTTTCCACTTACTTAACACCTCCACAATATCTTCTTGTTGTTTCGTCTTATTTTTTTATTTTATTTTTTCATAAAAAGAAACTCCTCAATTTTGACATGTTATTCTCTTGAAGTCTAGAAAAATGTTAACGTCTGCGCCAGCCTTCATCAAAACGAGATTTAAAATACTCTACCAGCTCTGCCACTGGACGCCGCAGACGTGATGCGCGCTGCTAATTGCGCGCCGTCTTTTGAAAGTGCCATGGCAAGGCGAGCGCTACAATTAGAGAATTCCGGGTAGCGGGTTGAAGTGGTGGGGTCGGGAACTTAGGCACGGGGAGTCGGATGCCTTGTATTCCGCAGTGTGTATCATTTTTTTTTAAATAAGAACTTAGCTGACCCCCGTTGTTTACTTTTGATTTACGTGAACATAATGTAATTCCTGGGGTCAGTCTGAGCTTTGTCACATGAAAATATGTTACACTGCTTGGTCTCTTGATATCAAATGTTCCAATCAGATTGCTACATTAATTGAAACATAAGGCTAGCTTTTATTTTAGTATTTTCCTAAATCTAACTCGTTTGTGGGGATCAAAACAAAATTTAAAGTGATCATATATGTATACACATCATATAAATTTATATACATAGATAATATATGTCTATACAAATATATAGGCGTGATATATATATATAGAGAGAGAGAGAGAGAGGCCTATACATATATATATATAAATATATATATATATATATATATATATTATATATATATATATATATATATATATATATATATGCATATATATGTATATATATAGTCAATTATTATGTATATATATACATATATATATACAATGGCGTAGCGAGGTCGGGTGTCACCCAGTGCAGCACTTAATGGTGTCACCCCCCAGAGGCGCAGCGACCCTTTCCGGGGGACACAATTTCGATTTGCACACCCCCCCCCTTAAACTTTCGATTGCACTCCCCCCCCCCCCCCCTCAAACTTTCGATTTGCACCCCCCACCCCCATCAAAGTTTTCTCTATATATTTTGCTATTGTTTGCCTTGGTGTCACCGGTGCGGTCCCGCCCCCCCCCCCCCCCACCTCGCTACGCCTCTGTGTATATATACATGTGTGTATATAAATATATATATATATATATATATATACGTATATATATATATATATATGTATGTATGTACGTAGGTCGTAGTTACCTGCCACTTGTTCTGACGTCAAATCGATTGCCTGAAAATGAGACAGGAAAAAACATGACTGTTGTGGAATTTCAGGTATTTTAATTATTAGAGTAATTAACTAATGGCTAATTATTTTATGCATCTTCGCATCACGGCAAGCAGGTGACTTTTAAATCGATTTATTCACCAGTGTTGCACTCAAGCGGTCTTTGTGGGTAGAGAGGGTTGGGGTGGCTATTTGACGGGTGGGGGGAGGTCGGATATTGGTCAATGCTAAGGCTAAAGTTTGCTTCAAAGACATATTTTGTAATATCGAGTCAGAGTGTTCATGTCATTGTGCTAGTTTTTCTAAGATTCTCTCGTATGTGATTACTGTTGTTACAGTTGTTTTAGTTGATGTAAACGACGATTGACTTTCTTCTTCTTCTTCTTCTTCGTTCTTAATTATTAGTGTTGAAGGGGATCGAGATTTATCTGCCAGTGGGTTTGAACTCGAGACTTTGTTCGAATTTATAAACCATGAGCTTTTTGCCGACTCGACCACGCCTCCAACACAATTAAGCGTTACGTGTCAACTGGTTATGCGCCATTGAGGCCATTGACTCCGATTTCAGCCTGCTTTTCTTTTTGGATTTGCTTCCATAGCCTTTGTCCAACCAAGAACAAACTACAAGGCAGCAGTTGTTTAGTTTTGGAGTTGTCTCTCCTAGAAGAGTGGCTGTCCCCAGCTAATGAGCCTCATCTGCCCGAGGGTTCGAACTCGAGACTGATTATAACATGTGAAATAAGATACTGGGTAGTCGAGTGCTTCAGCTAACCCGAAAGTCGCGAGTTCAGTTTAATTCTATACTGCGCATAGCAAGTTGACACGTAATACTTAATTGTGTTGGAGGGAATATCTTCCAACACTATAAGTAAGAACGTAGAAGAAGAAAAAGTTCAATTCTTCCCTTTTGTTTATGTCGAATTTGTAGATCATCTTAATTTTCGTGAATGCCTGAGAACATTGTCATCGCCAGTATTTGTACACTGAACGAAAACAAGAGATACGAGCTCTATTCAGATAATACAGGGATAGTGTTGGGGGGGGGGGGGGGGGGGGGGGGGGGAGGGGGGGGGGGGGGGGTATTGAGGCTTCATATTTTTGGAGTAAACAAAATAAATTTTTGAATTCAAATCAAAATCAAAAATAAATCTTCAGATGTCCTAGTATATAACAACAAACATGAAGTTATAAATAAATCTACGGCTCAAGATGTTTTATAACCGAAGATACACTTCATATCACAGTCACGTATCTTAACATTTAAACTCCCCCAACTACGCATACATACACACACAAACACAGACACATACACAGACAGACATATACACACAGACACACACCTCACCATCATCTTCTTCAGACGACTTGATAACGTATAGCCCGACCCCCCCCCCCCCCCCCCACAAACACACACACACATACACACACACCAGACACACACCTCAGCATCAGCCTCCTCATACGACCTGATAACGTATAGCCCGACCCCCCCCCCCTCACACACACACACAGATTCACACACAGACACACACACACACACCTCAGCCTCCTTAGACGACCTGATAACGACCCCCAGCTGATTAAAGCACCCCGGCTGAAAGAACGAGGGATACGAACGTACTGAAACCACCTCAACAAACATCGCCGTTCACTTCCTTCTTATCTAGTCTCGACGATTTATGAATTAGATGACGTCATCATTCCACAACACGAGAGCGAAGGCTCTACGTGATCTTCCTACGCTGAGCCCCTCGTCAAGTACGTAAAACTTTCAACGTGTTCGTTAAATATATCAGTGTATATATATATATATATATATATATATATATATATATATATATATAATATATATATATATATATATATATAGATATAGATATAGATAGATAGATAGATAGATAGATAGATAGATAGATAGATATAGATATATATAGATATATATATATATATATATATCATCCCCGATTTAGTATAGGTGCGACATAATTTAGCTCAAGAGTTAACTTCGTTATTAATTAAATTTTGGGGTCCAGTTTGATTTAATAGGAACCTAATGCTTAGGTAGTGACAAGCGAGAAACCTAGGGTTTACGTGATCGCTTCACTCTGAGCCACACAACGCCTTCCAAAATTTACAAACATATTTACAATACATATGTGCAGAGGCGCCGCTAGGCGGAGGTTGCGGACCGCACCGGGTGACACCATTTAGGGTGATACGAAATCAAAACATTGCAAAATGTAAGAATAAAAAATTTCTATGCCAGTTCAATTAATGGTTAATTAGAGTAAAAAAAATATTTTAAATACAAATTGACGATCCCGACTAAGGGTGGGGGGGGCGACACCATGAGGCGCCGCACCGGGTGACACCAGACCAAACGACGCCATTGCATAAGTGTATTGATGCATGTGTATAAATATTAGTATATATATATATATATATATATATATATATATATATATATATATATATATATATATATATATAAGAGTAATGTACATATCATATATATTTTCAAAATCATAAACCTGTACATTTTATATGTATTTTAAAATTATTTAAGTATGTATGCACACAAATACACATACAGGGATAGAGACTGCTCGTATGTACAGGTGAGAACGGGACAACCAAACCAGGCGCCTAGAATTCCTCTCAAGTGATCCATTGCCACTAAGTCTACATATTAAAAAAAAAAGCCTTTAAGGAAATCTTCAACAACTGTAAGTTTTTAAGCCACTAAACTCGAGAAGGAGAGAGCGATGATCATCTAACACATGCAATACCACAACGGTATTTCATGTCCATGCGCAGGAGTTTTGTTGCAACGCCTTGAAATTTTATACAATAAGCTGTTTGTCAATCATTTTTAAAGCACATTTTATTTTTAGTGTAAATTATACATCACATCCGATCGTATTGAAGTACAAATAAAATGTAATTTTAACTTTATATCGCTTGAGCAATCTTTTTGAGGATTTTTTTTATTTTATTTTTACATGGTTTGAGCAACTTTTTTTAGGGAAAAAAAATTTGTCTCGTGTATTTGAAGTTCAACAAACAGAAGTTTCAAAATTCACCTTTTATCTTGTAACAAAATTCCTTCAAACATCAGTAAAGTGTTGCGTTTTTTTTTTACGTACAACAAGTTTCGTTTTCCTTATCTCTTAATCACATTTCTTGTGTTTCAGCTAAAAAACATTTCTAACTAAGTTTTTTTAACAGAGTGTAAAATTTTATTTTCATTTTAGAAAACCATTTGAAAAAAAAAATGTCATGTGGGGGGGGGGGGGGGGTGGGGGTGACCAGTGGCGTAGCGAGGTCGGGTGTAACCCGGTGCGGCACTTAATGGTGTCACCCCCCCCCCAGGGGCGTTGCGACCCTTCCCGGGGACAAATTTTCATGTTTTCGATTTGCACCCCCCCCCCATCAAGTTTTTTTATTTGCACCCCCCCCCCCTCAAACTTTCGATTTGCATTTGCACCCCCCCTCAAGTTTTTCTCTATATATTTTGCTATTTTTTGCCTCGGTGTCACCCCCCTAAATGGTGTCACCCGGTGCGGTCCGCACTCCCCGCCCCCCCCCCCCCCCTCGCTACGCCCCTGGGGGTGACATTTATTATTGATTTCAATGTTGGTATAATAATATTCCTGCAGCTGTATATTTAAAAGTTACATTATTAATGTCTCCTTCTTCTTCTTCGTTCTTAACTGTAGTATTACGTGTCAAACTGTAATGTCCATATAGGCCTTGACTGCTTTTCTTTTTGGATTTGCTTCCATAACATTTGTCTATTCAAGAACAAACTAACAGGCATCAGTTTGATCATGGAGTTGTCTCTTTTAGAGAGGTAGCTGTACTCAGCTATTGTACCTCATCTGCCAGGGGATTCGAACTCCAGACTTTTCGGTTTAGCAACCATAATCTTTACCGGCCCGACGATGCCATCATTTTAGTGATTTGGAGGAGGTGTGGGGGGGGGGGGGCTAATTAAAAATAGAAATAGGTTCTGCCCGTCATTTTCGCCCCCTCCCCTTTCACCGTATCGCTACTTTGACACCATTGTTATACCCCTGACAACATCGTTTTCCCTAATACATATGGCAATTGCCCTCTTTGTTATGCTATTTGCCATGACAAAATCATGTGTCCTTCCAAATATATGTTCCCTCTTTGTTATTCTATTTGCCCTGACAAAATCATGTGCCATTCCATATATATGTTCCCTCTTTGTTATGCTATTTGCCCTGACAAAATCATGTGCCCTTCCATATATATGTTCCCTCTTTGTTATGCTATTTGCCCGGACAAAATTATGTTCCCTTTCAAATATATGTTCCCTCTTTGTTATACTATTTGCCCTGACAAAATTATGTTCTCTTTCAAATATATGTTCCCTCTTTGTTATGCTATTTGCCCTGACAAAATCATGTGTCCTTCCAAATATATGTTCCCTCTTTGTTATGCTATTTGCCCTGACAAAATCATGTGCCCTTCCATTTATATGTTCCCACTTTGTTATGCTATTTGCCCTGACAAAATCATGTGCCCTTCCATATATATGTTCCCTCTTTGTTATGCTATTTGCCCGGACAAAATGATGTTCCCTTTCAAATATATGTTCCCTCTTTGTTATGCTATTTGCCCGGACAAAATTATGTTCCTTTTCAAGCATATGTTCCCTCTTTGTTATACTATTTGCCCTGACAAAATTATGTTCTCTTTCAAATATATGTTCCCTCTTTGTTATGCTATTTGCCCTGACAAAATCATGTGTCCTTCCAAATATATGTTCCCTCTTTGTTATGCTATTTGCCCTGACAAAATCATGTGCCCTTCCATTTATATGTTCCCGCTTTGTTATGCTATTTGCCCTGACAAAATCATGTGCCCTTCCATATATATGTTCCCTCTTTGTTATGCTATTTGCCCGGACAAAATTATGTTCCCTTTCAAATATATGTTCCCTCTTTGTTATGCTATTTGCCCTGACAAAATCA